TTTGACTTCTCACGCTAGTTTTTAATATGTACCAGGACTGTTGTAATATCATGTTTTTTTTTATAGCGTCCATATTGCATACGGTTTAAATAACCCAAATTTCAGATATTCCAAGCAAAAGGCATCGATTCGGCAGTACGTGCGACCTGTGTGTTTCCCGTTGTTTTTCACAAAAAAAAAAAAAGTTTAAAAACTCAATCAAAACGCGAAAAAAAGATTCACCCCTTAGCTATTACTATGAGCCCCAACTATAACTTCAGCCATAAAAGTACTATAAAAGAAGGAAATCAAAGGGTGTCGGAATCAAAAAAGCTTAAATCAGTTGTGATAGTATGCGATAACAGCAGATAATGAAAAAAAATACTGCGGAAGGCAAAATCACTGATGCAAAAAAAGCTCATAAACGGAATCGAAGCAGAAAATCCCAGAAAAAACACTCACTTGAAATGTTTTTAATGGCTTCTCGCAACCCAATTTGCATACATGAATGCACATATCCGTGCTACAGGAAGCAAACGTATCTTCAGACATCCAATCAACATCCAGCGCAGAACTGGCGTGAAATTGAAATACCTGCATCTGGATACCTTTCAGCGGATCCCAAACAATCGTTGTCTGAAACTTTCTCATTGAAATATGAGAAACGACAAATAATCGCCATTTGGCGTAGATGACAGATAATAGATTGACGAAACGGATAATGGAATGGTACCCACGCGCAGTCAAGCGAATACTGGAGAGGGAACTGGTGAGGTAGAGGGACCCCATGGCAGGCCTGTACGGTATTATGTGGTCTCGGAGAACGTAACAACGAGTTGAGCGGAGAAATTGCCAGTTGCAACGATGGCGTGACAACGAACGTCGATGACATGCAGCTGCTCAAGTAAGCAAGCATAAGAAATGCAAAAATTTCGATGAGAGAAGCCCAAAACAGAGAAGAACGGAGAAATTGCCAGCTGCATCAATGGCGAGACGGAATGTGACAATGAAAAACAATAGATGATCGAAGTATCTACGTACAGAACAGCAACTACTATACATTAAATGTACTAAAGAAAAGAGCAGATTCAAATGCTTTTTTTCCAACAGATGTTGCTGGAAAAATGTTTGGTATCATCGCCAGTGCAAAAAAAAACCATTTCCCTCATTTTTTTCCCAGCCCAGTCCTACCCCCATAACTTGTAACTTCGTTTTTCCCCCTCATTCTTAATAATGGACTGGCCATTTGGCAAAGATGACAGACAACAGATGGACGAAGCGGATAATGCAATGGTACCCACGCGCAATCAGGCGACCATTGGGGAGACCACCAACGAGGTGGAGAGACCCCATGGTACGCCTGTACGATACTACGTGATCTCGGAGAGCGTAACAACGAGTTGAATGGAGAAGTTGCCAGTTGCATCGATGGCGTGATAATGAATGTCGATGACAAAGAA